CCCACTTACCAGACACCTACTTCCCACTCCACTTACCAGACACCTACTTCCCACTCCACTTACCAGTCAGAAACCTACTTCCCACTCCACTTACCAGACACCTACTTCCCACTCCACTTACCAATCAGAAACCAATTTCCCACTCCACTTACCAGACACCTACTTCCCACTCCACTTACCAATCAGACACCTACTTCCCTCTCTAGACTGACCAATTAGACACTAACTTTTACTCCACTTACTAATCACACTTACTTCCCACTCTAGAATTACCAGACACTTACTCCCCACTCCACTTACCAAACACACACTTCCCACTCCACTTATCAGAAACTTTCTTTCTACTTGCAAATGTCAGCACTTACCAATCTCTGATATCTACTTCCCACCTCAGACTTACAAATGTCAACACTTACCAATCTCTGAAACTTACTTCCCACTTCAGACTTACAAATGTCAGCACTTACCAATCTCTAATATCTACTTCCCACCTTAGACTTACAAATGTCAGCACTTACCAATCTCTGAAACTTACTTCCCACTTCAGACTTACAAATGTCAGCACTTACCAATCTCTGATATCTACTTCCCATTCTAATAAGATCTTCACATGTGTTGGACCACCTTCATCACTGCTTATAGTCATCATCCGCTCAACTAACTCTGAACAAAGAGGGCGCCCTTCATCTGGTGATATGTAACTTTTGCTCCCTTCACTGTTTACCACACAGAGTTTGAAAACAGGTCCCTGCAAAATAGCAATTTAGAATAATAGCATATTACACTTTTATAATAAATAGCATGGATTATAATAGATAGATCAAGCCAGCTGATATATACAAAATTAGACAGTAGCTACTGTAAAATACTTTATTTTCGCTTGGAATTAATTTTCACTATTTTCGCTGAAGGAATGATTAAAAATTCAGCGAATATACCTTTTTTCCTATATTTCACATTCAACTCAGAAATCAGTGAAAATAAATTCCATACAAAACACACACAAAATAATTTCAGCGAAAATTGAAACATTAAAGAAAAGATAATTAGCAGAGGTTTAGGTTTACTTACTTTATTCAAAGCAGCATCAGGTTGTCTAACTCCCATTGTTTTCAACACCACTTTTTGTAGTTGCATGTAATTTAGATTTCTTGATGCAGCAAAAGAAATGGGTCGTCCAAACCTGTGAAAATGGAAAGATCTTCAATTCTCCCTCAAACAGCATGATGTACACACAGTGCACTTTGCTATGCACCACTGTTTTATTTTCAAAGGTATTATTAGGACTAAAGATTTTGGTTTGAGTTCACACTCCATTTTGTCTATTAGAGTTCTATCCCTAAAAGAAACGTACATTTTGAATCAAAATTATAAAAAATATGTGCTAAAAATAAAGAACAGAAGATATTGTCATGAAATGAACTACATATAAAGTATCAAAGTAATTTAGCTGGTAGTTTTCAAAAAGAAGATGAAAATGTAATTGTTGATAGACAGACTGCTATCTATGACAGCAGAGTTGAAAGAACTTCTAGATGTGATTTAGCCATACCTTTTTCCTTGAACACCAGCTCTGTCTTTATTGAGTAGTACAAGAAATACTGTTTCATCAATAGGGCCATTGCTAGGTCCACCGAGTGTTGGTTGTTTAACACATGCTACTTGCGGCGTATGTGGGGTTTCTATTGCATAGATTACATCACCATCATGGATATCTGTCAACGGTTGATCATCTCGAAATGATCTCTGGAAACCATCAATGTACACTTCAGTCAGCACAAGCTGAGGGATAAGTAGAAATATTTTGGTTTCAAATTCAGATTTTTTTATTTTCTAAGAATTTTAATTTTAAGTTGTAAACCTTACACTTGATATCCATCTGTTTGGTTTCCCATGAATAAATGTTTCTAATACGTTATGAATATTCTGTGAGTCTATCAAAGACAATAAATGAAATAAAACTTATACAGAAACACACACAGGAACAAGACTACTTACAATTCATTTATAACCAACCACCAGATTAGAATCTAAGTCAGATTCAATAATTTTGATTTTTGTGATTTTAATGATTTATAAAAAGCTGATGTTTGTAATAAGACCTGCATTTAATCCATATTGGTGTTGGCCATCTTGGATTTCGTCCAAGACAGTATCGTGTACCATTGTTTGACTAATGACCTCATGAAAAAGCTGATTTCTTGTGAATATAAATATAGGTAATTATTAGGCTGAACAAGGGTTTTTAAATTAGTAATATTAGACATTCCCTAACAGTGTCACTCATGACAACTGTGATATGGTAGTCATAGCAACCCCTCTCCCCTGTTAATTAATATTCATTCATACTTAGAGAATACATTCAAAGAGATAATTCATGCTCAGAATATAAATGATTGCAGGTTCACTCACAGAATGAATGAGAGACTGTAATTAATGCAACTGAACACATATGCTTTTTAAATATTGTCTACAAGTAAGTCAAAAATACACTATACTGACCGACAAATACAACTACGGGAAGTACGTATTTACCTGTGTTACAGGAATACCACAACATTTAGCTATAGCTTGCCTCAGATCAGCCACAATGTCAGTAGCCTCTAAGGAAACACCGACTTGTACCATGTTTGGTATTTGGTTTCCATACACAGCAACCACTTTGATAAGTCTATGATTCTTCTGTGGTAGAGGCAATGATAGGCACAGATACGGTTCAAATGTATTCCGTTGTCTCCTACAATTTGGACACGTTAACGTTGATCTGTACTGCGCTTGGCATAGATCATAGACAAAGCTGTTATTGTAACGCATGTAATTAGCTTGGGCTTCAGCTGCAAGTACTTCAATTGACTTGCTAGAAATGCTCTGTGTAAAAAACAAAACAAAACAAAAATTATTACAATCTAGATATTAAGAATTCAGGATAAATACAAACTAACAATGCACTTTCTGCTTGGTACGATCTTCTCTTTGCATGAGAGAGTGAGGATAAACATCTGAAACAATACAATAATATATCCAAACAAAATTTATGTGGAAAATACAACTACATATATTTTCATAACACCAAAATTAAACTTGGTTGACATTCAGATTTCCAAGTTTTGAAGATGTCAGATAAAAATTGCATGAGTTACTGTAAAACCATTTATTTTCACTGACATTTAATTTCACTATTTTGATGTCTTGAGCATATTCACTGTGATTTAATTTCACCAACTTATCAAAGGAAATAATGAGTTGTATTGTTATTTTACATGTTCATATAGATTTAATTTAGTGGGTTTTATTTATCAGCGAAAATAGGGAAATTAAAACCCAGTGAATAATTAATGCATTTACTACAACTTACAAGAAGAAAACAAAACTGTTTTGAGTTATTGTAACAACGAGAACTTCCCCCACATATACCTCTCTTTTCATCTAAAATAAAACTGACAAAGGAAGAGTAACTAGATTGACCATTACTGCCTAAATTTGTAATTTCCCAAAATTTGACATAATGTAAGATAAAAAAAATAACATTTACAGCTGGATTATTACAACACATGTTAATGAATGTACAAATATCTTATTGATATAACTGCACTAAAAAAACAAAGAAAAAAGGTTCCACTAGAAGGCAGTATAAACTTTGAGAGAAATGTACATTGTATAAGTTGTACTTTTAATATTGCGACATGCCGCCACACAACTGCCCAGCCCAGAATTTAAGTTACCAAAAAAAAATAATCACTTGTACATAACAGATAAGAAGTGATGTTATTAAATTATGTACACAACATATAAATATTATATTATTTGTTATTTTAAGTATAAAGTATTTCTTTTTTTCAAGGTATTTCGAAAGTTGCCATGTACTGTATAATGAGAACATACAAAATTAAGCTTTTCAGCACAGATTAGATTTTATTAATCTGTAGATTATTAACAATTGTGATATTGCGACCAAAATTGTGTGTATAACTCGCAATCAAATAAAAAATTACAATTGTCTTTGATAACATTCGCATCATACACAGCCCTGATTTGATTAAATCATGATGAAAACGACCTGTTTCAAATCATACACAGCCTTGATTTGATTAAATCATGATGAAAACGACCTGTTTCAAATCATAGGGGTGAGGCAACATTCAGATTTGTACAACTCAAACTTATACTCTGATTTGAACTCAAAGCAAAGGCTTGGCTTTTGTTACTCTGTACATGGAATTTAGATCTATCAATGAATTCAGGCGATAGAATCTTGTATGTGTTGCGAATTACCCTATATAGCAAGAATAAAACAGGTGTGAAGTATCGGTAGACAACAAACGTACACTTTGCATGGCATCGCTTCGCCTCAAGGGGGTATTAGTTACTGCGGTCACTAGTGGACATGATGTCTCAGCCACATCACTATTAATATACACGTACGTATGTGACCGTGACACTCGCTTTGAAAGCACATATACAGGGTGGCAAATCTACGAAATTTTGAAGCTGTCTGCATTCACCAAGCCATATATCTTTATACTGGCGAGATTCAATGATATAAAAACACACCCACTTACGGTATCAATCCCAGATAGGTTAGCTGAACCTAGAAAGAATGGTAACGTATTCACATTCTTCCATAGAATATAATCGGTAATAATTGTAACATTTTTTTGTATTTTTTCATGTAGATTTTGAAACAAGACTTTATTTATTTCTTTTCAGGTCTTATCTGTGGGGAACTTTGACACAATGTAAAAAGGATGATGGATTTAAAGACATTGGTTTTTCTTTCTTTAACTGGAATGTTTTAAATATGACTTTAATTAAATTGCTAAATAAAGACTCCGTAAAGTAATATGCATGTACATGTACCGTGTTTAAATAGTCAATTTAAACTATTATAGGAACAAAAACATCATGTATGTGCTTTGTTGATGGGAGAACCTAAAAGTGTGGCCGGACAGGCGTCTACACAAATATACTAGTACCATCATACATTGGCAATATATTATGCATGCAGTTGGTGGTACTGCGTCATTCAGTAAAACAATAAATACACTGAATTAATAATTCTAGAACTATATACAATATTTTATTTACATACTTGAGCACTAATAATGGCTGTATGGGTGTCCCCCAGACAAGTGACAAGTAGGACAAAATGTCCCCACCAAGATCGGTCCTACTCTGCCGAAACTGTTTTATTACGACACAGTCCCTCTATCCCCCTTCTGGAAACGACTAGCGTTCTTTTGTCTTGAACTACGTTGTGGGTTCACACCCCGGAAGTCAGACATTTTTACAATACCGTCAGAATATTCATTAAAATCGGCAAATTTACCATCATGCAAAGCGATACCTCATTGTATGACTTCACATTGACCTCAAATTCGGGCAACTACAACGTAAACAAAACATGTAAACAAAATTAGCACTAAAGAATTTGTGGTTTTTGAACCCTGATACGCATTAAAACCAGCCTACCAACTCATCAATATTGAGTTCCTGCCATGTAAGGATTAATATTGGAAATTATGTTCATCTTCTAGTTTTAATAAGGAAAAAAAAAAGCGCGTACCAACATGCTGACATCGCTAAACAAATCTTGTGAAAACGGCATCGTTTATGTTAAAGTGGTCGATCGAAAATATTTCTGATTCTTGGGGGTTCATAACAATTTAAATCAACTATACAACAACTAATGCCTATATTTGAAGCAAAAATATAAAACAATGCTTCAATTTTTGTATGTAAATTATTTTTTTTGAAATGCGGTGCGACAAATAACAAATCAGCCCACCAATTTTTAATGATATGCTTCGATCATAAAATATCAAAATCGAAGACAAATATTGGTTTCGCGCCGAGAAGAAGGGTAAATAAAATAGATTTCATTTCAATCACCCCAAAAATCAAACAGGAAAAATTTCTGGGTAAAGGTATGAAAATTTGTTCCATAAATGTGTCGCTGCTGGTAAAATAGATAAATTAAAGAACTACTCGCCGGCTAAATTATGACCTTACACAGATATCCTGATTAAAAAATTATGTGAAAAAGCTTGAATTCTAGAATAAACAACTAAGTTGTAAAAAAAACACATAGCACCGACGATGTCAAAAATAGTGATCGACTGTATACTAATAATGATCACGCGACACTGCTTTACTCATACTCGCAATGTGCCTTTGCCAGGGAAGGAGGCCAATTCACACCTAATACAATGACCGTTTCCAGACTTGGGATAGGGGGACTGTGGTTACGAGCATGTTGCATCTACTTCTAAGGTATATGATTGCAATGCTAATATTTTGTATGTTATAAGAACAACGTAATTCTAATTATTTAGTTTTAAAACTTGTACATTGCGAGTAGGTGTATTTACATTTATTTCCCAATAACTTGTATGTAACAAATGTTTGTTTTTTTATATTTATTTACTAATAACTCGTACTTTGAAAGTATGGATTTATTACATTTTTTGGAGATCAATATATGTTATTAGTAAATAAATATGAAACATGGGAGACCAAAACTTTTTGGTTGGCAAATGGTAGCAAATGTAATGCTAAAAAATCATTCTTATAGCTTTTTGGACAGGCACATTCAAATTCCTGGCTATTCTCAGATACAGCTGTCTAGTATGAGAAGTAAACAGCGGGTACTGTCTTAGGTGAGAGGAAAAACAATCATTTGTTTACATAGTACACATAGGCAAGTGTAAATAATAAACAAGTAGAATCAAATTACTGGTAAGATGATTAGGCACAAATACTTTCAGGTAAATTTGAGTATTTATTCAATTACAGTAATCAGTGTGGTAAAGATTTTACTTTCAAGATTATAAAATAATAAAAATAATAAAAATAATAAAATTTACAATGTGCAAGCAGCAGAATAACTACATGTAGAATTAGTCTCATTGTTAGACACAACGTCTCTCAATGTGACCATGATGATTCTCATGTCAGAATTGACATACTGAAATAAATAGTTATAAATATAATGGTAATCTCAACATGCCGAAGCTAACCATTCATGCCCATACTAATAGTCTAAATTTAAAAATGATTTGCATTTTGCTCATACATGTACTTGCTTTTTTAGCCTGTATTAAGCTTTCACTTTTGTTTTTTCAGGCTAAAATCTTTTACCTCTGCCATAAAAGCTATGTGTGACTGCAACTTATGCCGGAATGTTCTAGTGATGTTGGCTACAGGTTCATATGCACAGTCACATAGCAATTCAAAATGTTTCAACATTAAAATTAGTCATTTATAATTGTATAAATCAAAATTCAAATTAAAAAAACACAATGAATGTGTAATTTTTAATTGAATACTCAAACAGAATTGATATTACAGAATATTCAAGTTGTTCATATTAACCTTTCAAAATTTTGGGTTAAAAATGTCACTTTAGTACATGTTCAGTTTGAAACAAGATGGGTAATTGTAAACTTTTGCTACATGACAAAAATAGAAAAAGTGCTCCACCAGTGGAGTGATATTAAAAAGTTTATTGACCCCGAATACAGACTCTATGGGTAGGACTATGAAAGGAACACATTCTTCTTTTACAGCAAGTGTGAATGAAAATAATCCTTATTATAAGACCAAAGAAAGAGCAGCATAAACCATGAATGGATATTCCATTCTAATTTGTAATCATTAAGGGAGGTACCAATATTACTACTGGAGGGGTTTCAGATGGAATTAGCAGACAAAATGATTTGGAATCTGTACACAAAAAGTTTAAATAAAGTATAATGTGATACATATCAATGGGTATTCTTAGAAGATGGAATGGAGACTTTTGACAAACCGACATATAAGTCATCATTAAACTATACCCTGCTAACATTTAATAACAGCAACATAAATTT